CGCGCCCGCAGCCTTGGCAGGCCGCCAGCCGAGCCAACGGCCGACAGCCCGGCCACAGTAGGCCAGCGGTCCGGCCAGGCCGGTTCAGACCGGTTAGACCATTTTATCCTATATGTTAATGTTTTCAGTTCCAGTTCATGTTCTGGTCTCATATTCAGTTAAATTCCGGGTCCAGATCAGTTCAGTAAATTATATCAGTTCAGTTCCGATATTAGCCGGTTCCGGAAGTACCGGTTAAATTCAAATATCATGTCCAGTTCCAGTAGAGCATCTTAACACATTAAACAGTTATTTTTATCAGCCTGAGCATAGTCTTTAGTAATTGTTTATATTATTTTTTAGTTTGATCAGGATACAAACATCAGCACTACCTTTTTATTCAGACGGATCAGGTGGGGGCTCAGACTGGATATTACATTGATTATAATTACTCTACCATGTTTGAGGTATGTATTATCAGTTCAGTATCCGCTCGGAATGGTCGTCGGTCCATTCTGGGTTCTAGTGGCCTTAGTCTGCCCACTAGAGTGTGCACATGGTGTCCGACATTTATGCTGGCAGATGTCCAGGTATCAGGCATGTGATCATATTATCTCACCATCAGTATCAGATCATGATTACTCAGTACCGGTTTCATGTTCATGTTCATGCCAGGATCATGATATTGCTATTAGTTTCACTGTTTACTTTAGTATGAGTTTCTGCGGAGCACAGTGGATTTAGTGCTCACGCCCCCACATTATTCATGTTTTTCAGGTCACAGGGTCGGAGCTGAGGAGTGAGCTGGCGGTCGGTTCAGGATTTTGGTTATATGTTTAAAAATGTTTTGGCGACACTATGTTTTTCCGCTGATTACGACTATTTGACGAAACTAGATTTTGATTCGACATTCAGTCGATTAATATGTTTTGTTAAACCGTTTTGTTTGTCTTTAAAACTAAAATGACAGTTTTCAGATAAAGTCATGGTTTATGGTAGCACTCCGAATCAGTATTTTGCAACTTAAAATGTTTTTATTTTGAAAAACTTTGCGAATAACGCACTCTAATTTTCATGAAATAGCAGGGTGTTACAGATGGTATCAGAGCACGTTTTGGCGTCTCTGAATATTTCACGAGTCAGAAAATTTTTTAGAAAACCTGAACAGTCACGTTCACGCCTCGCCGACTACTAGGTAAGTGCTGATTCATGTTTTAAATTATAAACAATTTACTATTTCTATGCTCATAAATTCTCAGTTACGATATAGTTAAGATAATTGAATCATTTTCAGAACCGATAGTCAATATCTTTATATTTTAATGTCAGTATTTTCCCAGTCATGTTTAACAACTCGTCAAGAGATTGTGCACTTTATTGATAAGCTTCCTATTGATGTGTATGATGTCATTAGTGAGGATGTTCGAATCACAATTCAGAATTTTAGAAAGGGGCTAAGTTTGAGAACTCTATATTCAATTCTAGATTTATTCAAGCCAAGTTAATGACCCGTCAAGAGATTTTTAAGCATTTATGTTATACAAATCTTAGCAATCATGTTCCTCAGATATTTTCTATCGAAAATTGTCATTTTTCCAATCAGCTGGCATATTCCAGAGAGTAATTC